CACTGCCTGACCTCTATGCTAACTAGTGTGGCTAGCCTTGCACTCTGATCTTCAGGCTAGTTTTATTTTTTTAGATAATAAACAAAATATCACCACACCATTTAGTCTATGAATTTGCATCCCATTGAAGCAAATAGAATTGGTAATCTATACTTCTTCAGAAAACTTTGGATACTAGTCAGGTGGTTCGAAACATCATGGATGTAATTTAGGTGATGGTTGTGAGTTGCTGGCTTCGATTTTTTTCTAAATACAAAACCCTACCTTTTAAGGATGGGATATGACAATAAAATGATTATCTGTACTTTAGTACGTAAAGAGGAGAAAGTTTAGCCATACATTTCTCTCCTGTTATTTTAAGAAACAGGAGAAAATGTTCTTTTCATTTTCTCTTTTCTGAGTTTGCATGAAGGTAGTCATTATTAAATAGGTAATTGGCTTTTTAAAGGGAACATGATATTAGCTTCTTTACTAATCATTTTAATGATATGTCCTACATTTTGCAGAACAATTCTAGAGGAAAATAACAATTTATCTTTGTGGCTTAGCACTGAGTCTTTGGAGTGTTTAAACCAGTAAAATTATATCAGTGCAATAAGACTTCGTCTTATAAACAGCAATATGTTATTACCTTTTGAAAACTAATACAATGAGAGAATTTTAATGGTACATTTGTGTTTCATTAATGAAACAAAAGACAAGGCACAAGTGGCACATGAAATATGCTCCTTTGAATTCTAGAATGGATTTAGTATTGAACAAGAAAGAGGTGATATGGCCAGGATGAGTTTTCTTTTCTCCTGTAGGTCATGTCTTTTCTTTTAGTACTTCTAAAATCACAATTCAGAGATTATACACAATGGACTGAATATCCTTTTAAAATACAAAATCGAGGTGCTTTGAAAATTAAACAAATATAGCCCACCAAAATTACCTGTTTTATTATGTAAATGTTACTTTGTAGATCCCAGCAGTTTTCAGATAAATCATTTTTTTAAGAAGTTGATTTAACCATTTGTAAACTGAACTCTTTGTATTTTGTGTTTCTTTTAGCGTTTGTCTCACAAATTGGCTCTGATCACCTCTTAGCCTGTGGTTCTGGATTTTATTTTAATAAAATAAAATAAAATAAAAGTTTAGAATACTTTGGGTGGGGCGGACACAGGTAAAGTATAACTATACAATACCATTCTTCACATTAAAGTCAAGGATAATTCTTTTAACATTGGCACAGTGAATAGAGCAGGATCCATGCACATTTTGAAGGTGGGTAATGGGAAAGAAATGAAACTCAGAAAGCTTTGCAAAAGGCAGCATGCAGCCAAAAACAACAGCAGGTATGGCCATATGGCAATCAAATTAGAAAAGACATTCTTAGCGCATAGATTCCAGAGGACAGTAAAGCACAGACAGCAGGCATGGAGGGATGATTTATTCAGTGCATGTTGAGTTTCACACTGCCTCTTCCACTGTTCACTTAGGAAGGAAATTTAAATAATTTTAAACAAGTAGATACTGAAGAATTTTTTTTAAAGGCTAAAAATAGAACCTCATTTTCCTTCTACAATTAAGGGAGATTGTTAGCTAAACATGTGTTTCAAAATAAAGCATTTGTTACACTGATATTTCTAAAGAAATCAAGTTTGGTAAGAATAAAGTTAATGTCATTATGATATTTAAATACAATACATGAAGATATTAAAGTTTTAAATCAACCTTAATCTAAGAAAGTCACTCATAATATGATTAAAGTTATGTCTGTTTTTTTACCTGTAAAAACTGTTTCTAGAAAACCTTGAAGCACGTTTTTCATATACTAAAAAATATTTACTGAAAATGTGCTTTAGTTATTAGATGACCTCTGGAAATTTTTGTGAGCTATACGTGGACTGTTCTATTAGCAATCATTTTAAAGTGTTATTAGTGTTGTTTTATGTTGCTATAACTTGAACAATGAAGATAGAGACATGGAAAGAGTGAGACATGGAAAGAGAGAGAGGTGGGGGGTGTGTCTGATTTAATCCAGAAAATTGCACTTGCTTTGTCTTTTATTGCTTTTAGCCTGAAGGAAAATCTAGTCTTTGTAAAGAACCTAGTGATTCTTATGGAAATTCCTCTACTCATTAAAGCCACTCACACACACACACACATTCCTTTTAGTTGTGACAAGCTAGTCTAGAGTGAGAATGAAGAAATTGATCCTATTTGAAACTAGGTCTTTCTGACTCATGTCTGTTCATAGGCAACATTACACCCCTCTTTTCTATGACAGAATGCAGCTGGCTTTCTTTTGGGCCATCAACCAGCTCTCAAATCATGACAGGGAGACTTATGATTAGCTATGAATGCTTGGCCTTACCTTATCCTAGTTTCTTGATAAAGCTTATAATTTAATTAACCTGTTTCTCTTAATCAGGGCTTTCTATCTTCCTTCCTTCCTTCCTTCCTTCCTTCCTTCCTTCCTTCCTTCCTTCCGTTTTCTCTTTCTTTTTTTTTCTTTCTTCATTTCTTTCTTTGTGTATATTTTACTTTCCTGCTATCTCCATGGTTGGCTGGTTGCCTGGCAGCTATCTGGCTTCTGGCCCTGGGCATATCCCTCCTTTCTCCCTAGTTCTTTTCTCTCATTGTAATCTCTCTCAAGCCTAGATTCCTCCTCCTACTTATTTTCTGTTTGCTGGCCAGCCACACCTATCCCTCAAATGTCTAGCTATTGACTATTCAGCTTTTTATTAGAGCAGTTGGGTGCTTCATGTAGCAGGCAAGGTGAAACAAATGCAATGTATTTTCACATAATGCAGCATAAACAAATGTAATACATCTTTATACCATTATCCAAGGCATCATAAACAAATGTAGCACACCTTTACACAGTTAAAATAATATTCCATAGCATAAACAAAGGGTAACACACTTTTCATAATTAAAATAATATTCCACAACAACAAAATATTTAAGTACAAGAGCAAAGGAATAACTAACTGTTCAAATAAATGGCTTGTAATTTAAACTCTAATTGCTTGCATAATAGTATTTTCCAAGCAGAATTCTTAGGTGTATTTGAACAGTAATTAACCATATTCTCTATGTAGAAATTGATGGACTAGTTGTCAGTCTCTTCCTGAGTGCCTATCTCACTGCTCCTAAAATTAGTTTATATGGATTTAAGGTAAAGGAAGATAGCCATATGCCTAGAGATGGATGTATGGTGGCAATTTGTTTTTTGCTTAGAAACATGGCTACCAAACATCTTAGAAGAAATGTAAAGGTTACAAAAACAGAAAATAGAAAACAAGTCATAATCACTGCCTCTAACAGGCAAGTGAAAAACTGTTAGTGTTTTGACATACTTACAGTAATTTTTTATTTTAGTTGTTTTGAGAAAAGCTTTCTCTGCATAATATCTCTGGCTGTCTTGGCACTCACTCTGTAGACCAGGCTAGCCTCAAACTCACAGAGATCCACCAGCCTCTGCCTCCTGAGTGCTGGAAGTAAAGGTGTACACCACCACTACCCCTGATACTTTCAGGAATTTTAAAATAAGACATATTGCTAAAGCCTTTGGATTATTCACTCTGGTGTCTCCACTCTTCTGTATGGGACAACCCGAACATGAGTTCATGGATTTTTCCTTCCCACTTAAACAATTGTGTATATGTATCCATGAAAATAATGATGTGTGCCTAATACACACACAAACACACACACACACACACATACACACACACATATCTATATGTATATAGATACATAACATATATTGTTGTATTTACTAATTAAATATGTATATACTTAATAAAGAGATGATACTAATATTTTACATAGTCTTTTCACTGAACAGTTATTACTACTTCCTTCTTCCTCCTCTTCCTCCTTCTTTCAGGTGCTGAGTAATGAGCTCAGAGTCTTATGGATCATTGAGCTCTATCGCCAGCCCGTAATATATTTTTGAATGTATCCCTTAGTCAAACAGAGATCTACTATATTTTCAACTTTTATACTATTTTATCAGACGAAAAACAATATTTTATGCATCAGTTCATTATTGAAAATATGTGAAAATCCTTTCATGATAACTTCCTGGTGTTCCATCACTCCTTAACTTCTCATTTGTATAATCAGGAGCATATTTAATCCTTTAGATATGAGTGAAGAACATAGAACAAAATGCTATTGGGTATTTACCAGTGGAAATACTCTCTTCTTAATTATGCTTCAAGTATTGCAAAATGGCAAATTATTTAAGATATTATTCTTAACATCAAATAATCTGTTCAATATTTGCATTAATCTTTCTCATAACTAGTCACTTTCACTTTGTCTTCCTGTCACCGTGCAGAATGGAAATGTAATTTCCCAGAGGCTTTAAGAAGTGGGGGAGTACTAAATGTGGCTGAAATTAGGTGATTAATAATTTACTTTTTAGGTCATGAATCAACTTCCTCAGATGCTAAGGGCCACTTGCAAGCCCAGAAGTGTGAGCAGCAACAATGCTCTTTTTAAGGCTTCAGAACTCTCAAAGGTTGGCTGCCCAACCTAATTAAACTTCAATCTTCTGATACCAAATTTATTTCTTCCTTGCACTGAATTTCCTCAGATCTTCTTGACAGGAAAATGTCACTTTGCCTGGCAGCTGATAGACAGGTTATGTAGCACTGTAATTGGAGAGAAAAGGATAGCTTTAAGCTCCTGGGTTTAATGGCTATGTGTATGGGTTTTTCTTCTTTTCCCTCTAAGGTTTCCATGACAGACACATAAGGCCTTAGCAAATAGGCCTGATGCCATTTTTCCCTGCTTCCTCCAGGGGTAATTATCTTACTCCATCAATAGTGCTGTCAGAAATTGTGCACATAATTCAGCATTTAAATGAACAAGCAATGTAATATTTCCTGTCCCCAGTGGAATGCTGTGCCACTCACATTCTTCTCTGTCACTTGCTCACTCTTGATATATGTCCTGTATGCACTCCTTGAATGGCTTTTCTCCCTTGTGTTTCACTGCAGATGTTGGCTTCGACTTGACACCTACTTCATTTGGAGTTTTATAGGACCAGCGACCTTGATAATTATGGTGAGAACTCCTAATTAACTATACACTTCCCAGGTCAAGAAATAAAACTTCCACTATTCATGTACTAACTATCTTAAATTTACATAGGTTAATTTGGGGAAAGCATGTACTTATATGACCCTACATAACTCAAGCAATTAGGCACTCATTATAGTCTATTTTATATTGTAAAATAGTTCATCAAAACTGGTGGAAAAGAAAAGTAAGCATTTGCAAGAGTAAACGACTACACAAGAATTCAATCCTACATAGTCTCGACAATTGAACAATGATTACTTTAACTTTGACAACAGCATGTTTCCCTTCCTTTCTTTGGAATAATTGGAAATGAAAATAAATAGGAATTAGAAAGGTAGGCGAACAATTGATCATTCCTTCCATGTATGAATGTATGTATGTAAACCCTTAAGACTTCAAAATTAAAAAAAAAAAAGATTTCACATGAAAATGGCACAAGTAAATTAGGCATGTGTTCTGGAATCAGTTCTCCTTTTATACTTATCTGAATAATACCTTTATTTCCCACATCATTTGTCCTAATTTAAATGAATCTGTTGGTGTCATTGTTACCATTACAAACCTAGGGCCCACAAGATGGCTCAGCAGGTAGAATTGCTTGCCACTAAGCCAGAGGAACTGAATTATATCCTGGGGAACCACGGAGTAGAAAGAAATAAACCACTTTGCAAGTTATCCACTGAACTTTATGTGCACACCATCATGTGCACCTTCCATATCTACCCGCACACAGAAAAAAAAATGTAATAAAAGTATACAAAACTACTGCTCATTTTTGGAAAGAGGTGATAACCCCTTGGCTTTGAATAAAATATAGGGCTAAAGTTTTCTCCTTTTCAAGCCTTTTGGGGTAGATATATTTTGAAATAAAAAATGTTTCAGATATGAAAACAATAATATAGCACGTATATACATAATATATATATGTATATGCACATATGTAAATATGTCATGCATGTATCTAGACATGCACATACACACATAAGAAAACCTGTTGTCTAACATCAATCACATTGACTATTACTCAAATATGTGAGAGACTAGGAGTCATTCTGTAACCAAATAGCATTTCAGGAAGCAAAAGAAAGAAAGGAAAGGAAATTGTGTCAAAGAAAGCAGACTGATGACCCTGGACAGCCTTATGTCAATACAGAACAGGCATTCCCACAAATTGTGTTCAGTTTAGGTTAAGCTTTTAGCCACTCAATGATGTTTGTTTGTTTTGTTTAAAGTTTTCTCCTTTCATTTGATTTTATTTTTGTGACTCAGAGGTCATCGATTAAGGATAATGAAGCGGTATTATAGTGAGAATGTCAGTGGAGCATTTGATTGAACTTTCATGGGCTATATCAGTCCCCAACTGTAGACTGTAGAAGCTAGTCACCTAATTCAAGTGCAATTCAGCATTTGGCTTTCTTTATAGCAGTGGTTCTCAACGTGTGGGTCATAATGCCTTTGACAGACCTCTATCTCCAAATATAATATATTTACATTACAATTCATAACAGTAGCAAAATTAATTATGAAGTATCACTGAAAATAATTTTATGGTTGTGGTCCACAGCAACATGAGAAAGTATATTAAAAGGTCATAGCATGAGGAAGGCTGAGAACCACTGATTTATACTGTTCACATATGGTGTACAGATAATTTTTACCATACTATGTTCCTATAAGTTATAGACATTTTTCTGGCTTTTGTGGCATAACAATACTATAAGAGAGTCTCTGTTTATAACTTAGTCTGTTGTAGCACAAGAATTTTTTGTTTTTGTTTTTGCTTTTCAAGACAGGGTTTCTCTGTATTGCATTAGAGGTTGTTCTGGAACTTGCTCTGTAGACCAGGCTGGCCTCGAACTCACGGATCCACCTGCCTCTGCCTCCCGAGTGTTGGGATTAAATGCGTGCACTGCCAATGCCTGGCTAGCAACCATACTTTATTTTGTGTATAACAATACGGTTTACATATCAAGCAACACTATAATAGAGTACTTTGATCTCCACAACACAGGGCAGCAATGGGACATCCCTAAAGAGTCCCAGTGAGGGTCCAGTGACTTTAGTGTAGGAAAGACCAGGGTCCTCGGACCAAATCAATGAGTCTTTGCAACGAATGCCTGCATGTAAAGATGCCTGGATAGTAGGGTTTACTACATGACTCACTGTGTCACAATGCAGATTCCCTGAAGATATTTTTCCCATTCTTCCCTTTTTCTTTGCTTTTTTATTTTAAATTTTACTTTGTTTTATTTGGGAGGATGACAGGTTTCAGGGGCAGGGGGCAGATGGGAAGGGGTGAGAGATGGGTGTGATTGGGATGTATGATGTCAATGACACAAAGAATAAATACTTTTTAATAGAGGATTTAAAAAATTGTATCTCTAATAACTAAAATGGAAGCTGTCTGTAATTAATCAATCTAGAGACATGTTCATAGAATGTCAAAGTATTAGTTCTCTTAGAATAATTCCAGGACTTGGGGGATTTGGTTTTCTTAAGCATGCACTGGGCTTTGAGTTGTTGCAGAATTTTAGCAGCATCTTTCCAAATTATTACTGATTTTTCATTTTGTATGTATTTGGTAGAGCCACATTTTGTAACTCAGTGGTGTCACAATTTGCAAAGCTGGCTTCTTGCCTTTGCTAAAGCATTAGACAGTCACCTGTGATTCAATTCCTTTAAGAGTCTACTAAGAACTAATTTCCCAGAACAATTCATGTGTTACAGGGAATGGACTTTCCTTTTTTTATACTATGGTTATCTACATAGCATTACCTTTTATATTTCAGCTGAATGTAATCTTCCTTGGGATTGCTTTATACAAAATGTTTCATCATACTGCCATACTGAAACCTGAATCAGGCTGTCTTGATAATATCAAGTAAGTGATTCTTAGTTTCATTTTTATAGATTGTACTTTTAAATCATTTCTAGTTTATATTGTAAAAAATGTATGACAAAATAATACCAAAGTTCACTGTACTGATTTTTGTTGAGTAAGGTTATTTTATTTTCAATTGGGGTAACTTGATCAGCCTACACTCAATGTAATGATGTAATGAGACTTTCTCCAAACCTATCTTTCCCTGTAAAGTGTAATTAATAAATATGCTTTATATATATATATATATATATATATATATATATATATATATTGTCCTTTAAAGAAATACAGCATTTCTAAATAAGAATAGAAATGGTTTTATAGTGCAATAACTGTGAAATCTCTCACACTGTCCTCAATCCCTCAGAGTAATGGTACCTACAAAGGTTCCAACAGTAATGGTACCTGCAGTGATGGTTCTTGCACTGACATTTCCTACAATGATGTTTCCTGCAGTGATTATGTATGCAGTGACTGTTCCTGCAGTGATGGTTCCTGCAGTGATTATGTATGCAGTGACAGTTCCTGCAGTGACTCCACCTGCAGTGATGGTTCCTGCAGTGATTATACATGCAGTGACAGCTCCTGCAGTGATTAAACCTACAGTGATTTTTTTCTGTAGTGATTGATTATACCTGCCGTGATAGTATCTTCAGTGTTTGTTCTTATAGTACTTATAGCTGTAGCAGTGGCTCCTGCAGTGAAGGTACATACAGTGAGGATCCTGCAGTGATTGTTCCTGCAGTGATTATGCCTGCAGTGATGTTTTCTTCAGTATACCTACAGCAGTGGTGCCTGCAATGATGCTACCTGCAGTGATGCTACCTGCAGTGATGGTTCCTATAGTAATGGTTCCTGTAGTGATTATACCTACAGTGATTATACCTGCAGTGACAGTTCCTGCAGTGATTATACTTATAGCAAGGGTGCCTACAGTGATGGTATGTGCAGTGATTACAGCTGCAGCCATGGCTTCTGCAATGACAGTACCCGCAATTGCATTTGTTACTGGGTAAGAACTGGTGTTACTTACAGGAACCAGAAGGAGAATTTCACACTACTGGAAAACAATCCCGAAATATTGAGTCTGAGTACTCGTGTAGCAGTTGCTTGTATCTGTCCTGTTATCTTTCTGAGAAGGGAGGTGCACTTTCCCTGCTGTTCACAAGCACAAGCTGAGAATGTTTCATCCAGAATGCCTTGATCCAAAAACATTATAGAATCTTAAGTCTTTCAGATTTGAGAATGTTTGTGGAGTTCATGTAGAGTTTGATGGTTGAGAATTCCTAATCTGAAAATAAAAACCTGAAGTCGTCTAAAATCTGAAGGTCAAAAAATCTGAAACTTTTTGATTATATTTGGATTTCAGAGCATGTTGGGTTAGGACATCCCCTCTCAGTGACTCTGAGCCTTTATTTTCAAATGAAACTTGAGCTCTAACTTACCTAACTTTGAAACATTTACACCTTCTCCTAAGAGGTAGCTCTCTGAAAAACATTTTCCACTCAATCTTCCTTTCACTTTTGATATCTACCCTTTATTGTACATTTTGTGTGCTTTTATCCTCAGACAAGTATAAGTCTGCAGAGACACAAAATATTCATATTTCATGTTAACCTACAATGAAAATACATATAAAACTAAATTACATTTTCTGGAGTCTCTGAATCCTCATTATAAGCAAAAGTGAATTTTAATTTACTTAATGGTCTTGATATTTCAAACAGCTATAAACACTGAGAAGAACATTACACACATTGCATTTTCATGTGATTTCTTATGTTGTATAATGACTTGGCTTTAGTTTTATTAAATGAATACACATTTAGGACATTCAAGGTGTGCCGGGATTTCCATGTGCTTCAGGATCCTCCTGGAACTATGTCAGACTTGCTTCCTTGCTTTCTATATTAGTGCCTGACAGCTGCTTTGACAGTGGATAACTTTCCTAAGTTAATTTCAAAGAATAGCTAAGGAGTTATGAAAATAAGAACATTTTAGGACTAAGTAGAAATTATCCACACTGAAGTACTGCCTCATATTCTTAATTTTACTTTCATGTTACAATAATGATTTTTACTGAATTATGTACAATTAAGTTGTCATTCTAAAATATACTTTGGATCCCATACTGTTTCTAATTAAAGTGAGTTTTGATAAGTTTAATAGCCACATAAAACACATTATTCTTATCATAGCGCTCTTAAGTCATTATATGTTATATTTCAGACCTTTTGTTCTAGGTTGTAAACATTATCTAAGTAATTTTTAAAGTACCAGTTGGCAGATAAAAATAAAACTTGGTCTTTATTTCAACATCTACGAGGGTAAAACTTAAAGAAAGTTTGCAGTCATTGACCTATCTCCAAGTAATTTTAGTTTTGTAAACTTTTTGTGCACTCTAACATTTAACTCTGTTACCTGTTCTCATTACTGTCCCATATTATAAATATAATATAGTTTTCTATGTAGTTTTGATAACAAATACTGTTTAGAAGAACAAACACACTAATACTAATAATTATACCTAATGACATTGATCACATTAAGTTTTATAATACAAAGCAAAATGAAGTCATTAGTAAGAATACCTTGATTTGCATTCTATCTAAACTGCTTACAAGATTAGAGCACTTGGAGAGTACTTAACTTAGCTGAGTCATGATTCCCTCCTTACAACTGTATAATAAATGAAGCATACCTGACCACCCAATGTGCATAGAAATGTAAAGCTTTGGATGATACTTTCAAAAGACTCCATAAGAGAAGACTGGTTGTTAAAATGATGTGTCATAAGACTTTAAAATAGAGCTGTGACTATGGCTATGCTGACAGAAAAAAAGCCATTGATAGTTTAAGAATGTAAGAAAGGAAACAAGGGAGTCATTGTCATAGTTATGAGCTAAGAAATTGCCAGCAATCACATCCAGAGCAAAGATGGAACAGTTTACTACCTTACAGTTCAAAAAGGCTATTCTTCGGTTGTGCTAAAAGAAGTCAGGAAGACTAAGCTTTGATCAGTGTGACAGAATGTAGGAAATAATGTTTGTGTAATGTCATATGTTGATGGAAACAAAGTGGACTACTAAATTGAGGGATTTTTTTTGGGGGGGGAGGTTTTGAGATAGGGTTTCTTTGTGTAGCTTTGGAGCCTGTCCTGGCACTCTGTAGACTGGGCTGGCCTCAGACTCACATATATCTTCCTTCCTCTGCCTCCCAACTGCTGGGATTAAAGGCATGTACCATCACCACTCAACAAATTGAGATATTTCAACTCATACTCATCTATGCAGAAAGATGACCTCTTGCAGAACAACAGAATGTGTAGGAGAATGATAAATTCATGTCAAGGAAGAATTCTTTAACACTTCACTAAATCTGTAGGAAATTTCATTTCATTTAAATTGTATTATATTAGGTAAGAAGCAGTAGTAAAGTATTGAGAAGGATGAAAATATAAGTGTGGAGAACATTCTCTTTCAAACACTGAACAGAAGACATGTTGTATGACTGCTGCAAAGCCAAGAAAAAAAATGTCTGAAGCATACATGCCCTTAATCATATCAAAGCTTCAAATGTATTACAGTTTTTAATTATAAGATTATTTATTGATTATTTTTAATTGTGTCTTATGTTGTTTTTTTCTTGTTTCATTGTTTATCATAAAAGCAAGACCATACAGATTATTTTATCTCTATTCCTCTATGAATAAGTGAATCCCAGAAGCAATTTCAAGACTATATAGCCAAGAGGTTTTATCCATGATGGCTTTGCTTCTAAAGTCTTTCTAATGTACTTGTTCTTTCTTACTAAGTTTTATTTTTGTATGTTTATGCACATGCTTAGAAACTGAAGTCTAAGTCTTTTAGTTAGAATATTCTATTTACATTTAATGCGATTACTGATGTGGTGGGTTCATTATATTAGTTTCTACTTATTGGAGTCTGTGTATTTTCCCCTTCCTCCTTTATTCCTTCCTTTATAAATAACATTATTGTGCATTACATTTTATTTTTCATATTGGCTTTCTAATCACTACACTTTTATTCACTTGTTCCAGAAATTAAAACAGAAATTGCTAAATTAATATTAGTTTTATTTGTAACATAAATGATCTTTCATATATATTCACTTTGCATACATATACACACAGACTCCTATTTTGTTGAATATGGATTTCCTCCTAATTAAGTTCACTGCCACCATTTCCTTTAATTACTGTTATCATTTGCAGAATCTCAGTGATGGTCAATGATGGTTCTATTAGCCTGTTCTTTTTTGTCACATTGTTTTTGGGTCCTTCTGCCACGAGAGAGAGAGAGAGAGAGAGAGAGAGAGAGAGAGAGAGAGAGAGAGAGAGAGAGACAGAGAGACAAAGAGACAGAGAGACAGAGAGACAGAGAGGGAGATCCTGAAAGTGTTAGTTCAGACATGTAATGTAACTGTTGGGATAAAACTCTTCAAATGGTCCCATTATTTTTAACTTAAGTTCAAACTGCAAGTTCAAGCCAGTTAAACCTTGGTGATGGCCCACCTCCTCTGTCTACTTTCCTACTTTGGCATGGGCCCATCAATTCACTTTAGGCATATGCTCTATTCCCTCAAATCTTTATCACTACTCACTTTCTTTTCCCTTCCATCATGCCTGGTTGACTTCTATTACCATATTTAATTTAAATATTATCTTTTCATTAAAAAAATTCATTGTATTATTCTTCAGTTTCAAAGTAACCCGAGTCCTCATAACAAGCCCCTTTAGTATTAGCAAAGAACACTTATTTGTCTAGCTTTATTAATGGTATACTGTGAAAAAAAAACAATAACATGAAATAATGTTATTAGTCTAATCATAGAGAAAATGAAGGATGCTAATTTTGGGGCTTACTTGGAAAGTAATTAAATTAAACAGTACACATATACTTGCTGATTGCTTTTCATTTGTCCCTTCATCAAAATAGGTAATTACAAGAAAGATGTAATTCTAATCATTTGAATTT